CTTAGATTGACTAACCTGGTCCAATGTAAATGGAAGCTCCCTTTTACAGTAGTCTATTATATATCCGAAGAACTGTTCAAGCAGCTGCTCCCAATTTTCACGACGGTCTTTTCCACTCATTGTAGTAATGAACAATCTCGTCAGATCTTCCGCGACGCTTCCGAAGTGAGACAACTAAACAACAGCTTCTTTAATCCGAAAATGATTATTGTAATTTTTTAAATTTAGTCAAAGTTTTCACTGTTTCCCAAACAGACGTCAGGAATTCACGAAGACAACATAAAAGCTGTGGGAATGAAGCTGTTGGATACATTTTCTTTTTTCATCGACAGACTGCTTTAATATTATCGCATGTATTACCGACTGTCACGTACTTCAACGCCTAATTCTTCCCTTTTGTTTTTGCCTTTTTGGATAAGTTTTGCAATATTTTGAGTGCCCTTTGCTACTCCAAAAAAAAAATTCGGTCACCGTTCTTTCAAGCCATTCGATTTATCTCATTCTTTGAGCTATGGACAACATGTCAAGAAAAAAGAGACCAACATTCCCTACAAGTATGTCTCTGCCTTCGATTGGGATGATAGCGTCTTAGATCTCTATTCTACATATAATAAGTTAGGCCTTTTAGTGCTGCTAAAAATTGATCCACAAGTTCAAATATGTGTAATAACCATCAAGGCGCCATAAAAGTAGGACATCTGAGTTTCGAGACCCTCAAGAAGATTAGTCGCTTGCATATCGTGATAATACCACATTCTAACTACGGGCAACGTTCGTCAAAGAAAAAAGTTCCGTGAAGTGTCTGAGCGAATTTTTCAAAACGAGATCCCTCAAGTACAGGGATAAAGTTACTGACAAGCTCTTAAATGGTTATTGTTTAAATTTCTGCTCCTATTACTAAAATTATCCCAAAAATATACAAAAATTACGAAATTTTTGAAACAGCCTAATTGTCGAAAAAGCCGTTTTTCAATACAGTCTATTTCCGTAGAATATAACTTTAAAAAACGCCAAAATTTTATGGAGCAGGAAAAGCTTTTCATAGGGAGCACACGACGCAGTACTAAGATCGCGAGAAATTAGAGTGCAGAAAAATCAGAAAAATCATGTGGAATAAATTTCTTTGCAAAGTCAGTAAGGAGCCAAATGAGAACCAGTTGGTGTTTCCTTTGCCCGTACTAAGCCTAGTTCGTACAAACTCTCAGCTGTGTGAAGTTTAAATAGAACAAAGTTTGGAACTTTTTAACATGATTTGTATTTCTATATGTACTCGCGATACTACAGTTGTTAGTAAAATGCCAACCACTACATAACGATTTTAGGCTGATTAGTGTTAATAAAAACAGAGAGTACTCTCCATGCTATATTCTCTTATAAGTAATTTGACTCACCTGGTAATCAACTATTCTGCTTAATCTCAGTCCCTTATCT